AAAAAAATATACCAAATGAAAGGTAATGATATTATGCATCTATATAAAAAAGAATTATATTGATATGTTTATTTTTGAAAAAGTTATGGCACTTTTAAGTAAAAAAAATTGAAAAAATTTCGAAAATTAGCGATTTTTAAATTTGTAATTTTTTTGGAGGTTTCCCCCTTTTACGGGGAACGAGGGAATTTTTTTCAATTTTTAAGGGTAATGTCTTTGACTAGATACGATTTGTGATCTTTTGACGTATCATTGAAAGAAATCGGTTCGGTGAGAGCTGAGAAAAAGTGGTAACAGACACAAAAAAAGATAAAAACACATCATAGTAAAACCAATACCTTCTCAGCTTCGCATCGAAGCTAAAATTATATTGATAATATATTCCACAAATATTTAAAAAGATATTTTTTAAGCACATTGTAGAAATATTTTTAACGTAATATTCTGTACTTATTCTTTTTAATGTATTCTCAAAATATACATAAACAAATATTTAAAAAAGTATTTTATAAGAATATTTGACAATATTAATATATCGAAATTGCTATGTGGATTATAAATAAATTTACAAATGACAATCAAACTTGAACTTGAAGATGTTAATAAATATCTAGAAGAACTAGAATTTCCTGTTTTTCTCGTTATGTAATCGTTTAAACAAAAATAAACTACATCACAGGACTCTCAGTAAAATTTCAATACAAATATATAGGTCACATAAAAGTGAAATTTTTTTCCAACTTTGAACCCAAAGTTCATGGGGGGGGGGCGAAATTTACCAAAAATTGAGTGACCATTTAATTTGTATGAGAATTTCGAGGGAAATACTGTGACGATATTTTTTTTTTATTTAAATATAATTTGAATTGGGAGAACCGGGAATACCTCAATTTTGGAAATAGGAAATTTTAGTTTTTGATTTCGCTAATTATAGGTCCTACGGAATATCACCTTATAATCGTGACATTGATTAATCTAACACCTATGATATTTATAAATAAAAATTGTTTTTATACGTACAGTTTAAAAAAAGTTATGATAGTTTTATGAAAAAAATACTTATTAAGGTGATATAGTTCGTTCAAATAAAGATGATATTTGACAGTGAAAATTATCACTATCTTAATAACCATCTTAATTAATAATTTCTCAGCTTCGCCTAGAAACTAAAAATACGGCTAGTCATAATTTATCTCTTGTGTACAGAACTAAACTATGGCTAATTGAACTGAAATTTAGAAATCATAGTTTAAGTAATTTTTATAAAATTTGTAAAGAAAAAATTTTTTTATACAGCCTAGCATTGAAAAAATCTCTAAAAATCTAGTGTTTATACAAAATAATAAACCTAAAATATTAAAGTACATTAAAATCATAAAAGGTAATAAACCTGTAAATATTTAGTATTAATAAATGGCAAAAAATTTGAAAATACATTTGTTTCATTATATTGATATTCCTTTATATTTAAATATATATATGTATTGGTTTAATCATAAGTAATAATTTTATTAAATATTAAATTATACTAAATTCGTATAAAATTATAAAAATAATAAACAAGTAATTAATAACAATTATAACTAAAGTAAAATAAATTACGTAAAATGAGGAATAGATATTGAAAATAATTATTTAATTGGTGACTTGAGTAATAAGTGCTGTTCCTTTCAATATCCAATAATTTTCGGGATATTCAGTTGGGAGTAAAACGGCCACAACAAAATTGGTACTGTGTCCTGTTGTCGAAAGAACACCAGCTCGTATAGCAGTTTTATAAAGAGGACAATGATAGCGTAATGATGTTTCATCTAAATCCAATGTAGGTACGAGTCGCATTACAGGAAGAGGAGGATGGAGTTCACCTGAATATTTCAATTTGTATGAAATAAAATTCAATTTAAATAATTATCAATTATACCTGGATTAGGATCTACCAACAGTTTTGTATCAAGATCGATTCGACCGGAATCTAAAAATAAACCATGAATATATATACCATCTTCAATTATTTTTAAGTCTTTGTATAATTGGTGATCTTTTAAAGTCAATATTTGGGCTGCTGAAACTTCATCTTGTATCAAAACTGTGTTACTCAATTCAAAATCGATTTTTAAACTATCTATTGGTATGCTGTATTTCCTAGAGTGTCTTTGTAGGCAACCCGTCATAAAACCTTGAGGGAAGTATAAACCAGATATCCAATACGAAACAGGACTACCAAATTTGAGCCATATCTGTAAAAAAATGTATACATATTGTATACTTCTTTTTCTATCAACAAAAGTTTTATTATTTTTAAAAAGATTTAACTTACGTTAATAAAATCTAATCTCATTATCAAATCTTTCACCCAACTACCTAATGATTTTAATGAAGGATATGCTCCTTTCAACCATATTTTCGGCATCTAATATCATTTTAATTTTATTTATCTTGGGTATTTTAATATTTTAAAATTTAACTTACTGTATTACTTAAAAATGACGTATAGACACTTTCTAATTCTGAAGACATAACAATTATACCTTTAATTGCTTTTCGTAGATTATTTAATGAAACATGAATAATATCTAGCAGTACATTAAATCGGCTAACTTCTTGAAACAAAACCGTAGACAGTGACGGTAATCTACCTTTATCATCTAATTTCATAATTGAATTACTGGCCTGCTGAACATTTATTGAAGCTAATAGTTTCTCTGATATGTCGTCAGCCATTTTTCCTACTATTTCATCAGCAGATTTGTCAGGAGAACCTCCCGATGACTTTTGATATCCTTCTATGATCGTATACAATAAACTTTGCGTTTCATTATTCTAAAAATAAGTATATTATTAGAAACTAATAATTTATATTTCTACTAAAAATTAAATAATACTTGAAAAGCACTATTAGCATTGTCATGCATTCCAAAAACTTCTGGTCCTTCAATAACTGGTAACTGATCAATGAATAATTTATATTCTTCTATTGTTGTACAATTTGGTGATTCTGGACAGTAATAAATACCGGATTTTGAATACTTATAATCTAAAGAAATGATTTTATATAAAACATTAAAAATAGCATAATGTTTATTTAATTCAGTTATTAACTTTGATCCATTATATGAGGACCAAAATATGTATGTAAAACGTTTTTTAAAGTTCGTTGATCCCAAATGTCAGTTACTCTACCACCATATGTAATTTCTGCAGTAATATACGTTAAAGCACTCCAAGGTATAACATCGGTAGATAAACAGTATATTTCTAACATATTCATTGCACATTCTCGATCACTATCAGTAAAAGCATATAATATATTCCATCCAAGGGGACCGAATTTTCTTCTTTCTAGTATAATTGAATGGAAAAAACACAAACCAAAAACCATTTTTCTCCAGTCTGGGCCAAAAGCTTAATAAAAAAATAATAAATCTAAAAATGTACATATAGTAACGAATTATTTTACAATTTTAAATTGTTTTAACTAACCATTTTTTTCAAAAAATTCTACATTCATATCAAAAAATGATCTTTTCATATTTGCTTTTAATCCTTTAGGCGGCTCATTGGTGACTTTTAAAGAATTTTGTAGTACATAAGCCGGAAAAGTTTTTGAAGGCATAGAACTTATGAACAATCGAAAATCTGATCTAGCAGTTGATGGATTTTCAATGATTTCTTGAACTATAGTCTCTAAACGTAACATCCATGATAGTGCTAAATGACAGTTCTACAAAATTCAATATTATGGAAAAAAATATATATATTCATTAATAAAAGTATAAATGAGATCTATCTTATTTAATATCATTAATTGTATGTCTAAACACAATATTAAATTAGTTTATTTACTTGTAGAAATATCCAATTTCCTTGTTCTTTTCCATCTAATATTAATTTTTCGGCAATAGGACCTTGACCTTGTCCTAATGATATTGAGTGAAAATGATCTCCAACTCCAAATTCAATTGCAAACTTTTGAAATGCGTTAAAAGGATCTGAGCCAGGACTTAAAATAAATACTAATGGTATTGACGACGTTGTATCATTATATAGTAATTGAAATGAAACAGCAGGGCTTTCAATAAACGTTTTACCAAGTTCACTACTGATATAATTAGTTATCGCAAATATAAGTTTTTCTTCCTTTAGAGCTTTGATAAGCATAAGTTTTTCAAAAGGAAATAATAAAGAATCCCAATCGATAATTAATTCATTGATATTATTATCTAATTGTAATATTTCTTCATATTCGCCGATTTTTATATGAATAGGACCGATAAAATTTTCTGGGAGTTTTTTGAATTTAGGAAAATTATCTGATAAATATAGTATTGTTTGCCACACTTTTTCTGACAATGCTGTTACGTTTGGTTTTTGTATAGAACTTTCATTTTTTGTACCAACAGGACCTCTTAATAGGAATTCCCACTTGTTGGTAGTAATTTTTCCTACTTGTAAGTCAATATTTACGCTGATTAAGAAACTAAATACAAGTTTGTGACGTTCAAACAATCCTTTGGATACATTTATGTAAATAGCCTTTGTGATTTCATCTATCATTATAGGTAATTTTAATTCAACTCTCATAGATTTATTACTATTTTTTATAACATTACAAAATATCTAAGGAAAAAATTATATTATTATGAACAATAAATATCAAATAATTAAGTTTTTAAATTGAACCTAACTGAGATAAAATAATTTAAAGAAAACTGATACATTGAATCTATTTCAGACAACTGAGCTACGACAAAATAAAGGCACGATCCTCGTTTTGCTATAGGTCTGTATTTTTCTCTTGCTGCACTTATACTATTATCTGTTTCTTTCGCATCAATAAGCCGAGAAGCTATAATGATTGAAGTTTCCTATAATAATTATATTTTATGTATTTGCAAATTAAAAGAAATTCTTTATATTAAATTGAAAACCTTGCTGTTATTTAAAGTTTCTATAAGCTCTTCATCATCAAGAATGTTACCCTTTGTAGTGTACAACATTCTTAAAGTTTTGTCTTCCATTTCTTTCAATAAATTGTTATCATTATTGATACTTACTATTGTTTCAGTACGTTTTTCTTCTAATTCTGGTCTTTCTAGTCTTACAATTTCTCTAAATTTTATCATAAAAGTTAATTTTACTTCGAAAAGTAATAAATTTAAATGTTTAAATTACACTAATAATTGATCTTCTAAACCTAATGGCGTGACTGTAAAATTAACTAAAGTTACTTGGATGCATATTTCTGGTAAATAATGTGGATTAGACATTTTAGTAGTCATATAAAATCTAAAATCTGAACTGTATTCAATGTCTGTGTTTCTAATTCGTATCAAAGTGCGACCACCCTTGAATTTTTTTATAATAAATATCACGTTTATAATATGACATATTATTGTAACTTACTTGAATAAATGTATCGTTTTCCAAAATAGGTCTTAAAGTTGGATCAACGTGCTCTTCAATACCTTCTATTAATATTGGATACCCTACTCGTATAGCTCCAACAATAACATCAAGTAACCCAGGATCAGTCGATTTACATACTTTTAGTTTATTAGTTGCTTCAAGCGCCTTGATCCATCTATTTGCTTGTTCTTGAGGATCAATCATCAAAGACCAACGGCTTGATCGAGTAACGATAATAGCATTATCAGTAGATACAGAATCTCTGGGAAGACCACAAATGTTCCAAGAACGTTGCTCAAAAGAATCAATCAAAACTGAACTTAATGCATAATTTGGTGTATAAAATATTTTGTAATCAGCAATTTTCTGAAGCCAAGTTAAGGTAATTTCTTTTCTATATTCATCCGTAAATGGTCCAAGATATGTTATAATACCAGCAGCGATAATTATATCTCCAGTAACGGTAAGTAAACGTTGACCAAATATCTTAAGAGTAAAAATTAAATAACAAATTATGTAGAATGTAATGAATCAAAATAGAAGTTTCGAGACTATCCGAGAAACTTCTAGAATAATCTTTACACAAATAATTAACAATTTTAAATACTTTTCTGACTGACTATTATTTTATTACTTTTTACAAATACATCGTTCATTTGGAGCGATGTTTACATTAATGTCCATCTTTTTAATTACCATAAGCGTATCTGTGGCGCCGAACAGACGGCAAGATTAAATAGTTAAATTTTTAAGAAAAACTAGCCTCCCTTCATTACCTTACCAACTAATTTAATATAAAAGGGCTAGTAAAATTAGCACAGACACTCTCTTTCCATTTTATCTCTCTCGCATACTCTCACTTTCATTTTCACTTATTATTCCCCCATAATCTTACACTTTCATATTAAAAGTTAATAATGTAAAATTCACGTTACTTTTGTTAATTTTAATTATAAGACTTATATATATTTGTCAAAATAATTAATACAAGTTATAGAAATAAACTCAGTATGTTGCCCCTCATATCTGTATTTTTATTTATTTAAATTAACTTAAAATATCGACATCAACAAGGAACATCACAATTCACCATCTATCTACGAATCCATTTGGACATCAAGGTAAGTGTAGTCTTAAGACATGCACTATATTCATGTAATATTAAGAAATAGGACAGAGTGGATAAGAGGTAGGATTAAGATGATATGAATGAATCTNGTGATATGAATGAATCTAACACAATCCAAATAACTTATAATCCTTTTCCTACTATCTCTATCTTATCGCCTCCCCTTATTTTTTTTTTATTACAAGAATGATATGTTTATACAGGGTGATTATTTTAGTATGGACTATTTATCTAATTGTGCAATAAAAATTATATTAATATGTATTTTTTTTTGGTTTATTTTAGTTATATAATTATATAAATGTATTAACCATATAATATTTTTTATGATCATTCTGTATACTTTATAAGAATGCCAAAATTATTTTTTCAAATAATAACAGTAAGGTAAAATAGAGAATTCTACGGCTCCTCGCCTCACCACCACACTCGCCAGTGTAAAGGTGGGAATAGTCTCGTGATGTTGGTGGTTAAGGGTGTATTCGAAGGTTTTTCAAAATGGCAGAGGTTTAAACTACAGTGCGCATGCGCACTATAACTCAATGCCAGGGGTAGGGGACGTAGTTCATACGTAGCTGTTCTCCTCCTACGGTGCCATCTACTGAAGGATAAGGTAAACTAGCCTATAGTCTAGTGGAGAGAGTAAATACATTACATATATTACGTTTAATATTAAACATATGCATTACATTGAATAATGTACGTAAAGTAGTGGCTGCCGCGACCACACGTCCAATAAGTTCTAAAGAGGAAATTAAAACTTAACATAAACTAATCTGAAATGGGCGGGGTGGGAATGAAACCCGACGTAAACTAACAAAACTTGCTGCACACTCATAAATAGTATATTATAAATTATTTTCTAAGAACTTTGTCATCGTCTACCAGACGCTAAGTTAACCATATTTCAAACATCACAAGTATCACCATACTATAACGCTCATAATCGTCTACATTTTATGCGACTAATTTCGACGTTGTCTATTTATTATTAAGGTACAGTTATCATTTTCTAAGAATTTTACTATCGGATACTAGACGCTTAGGTAAGCATATTTCCAACATCAAAGGTTTCACCGTATTTCATTTTTATTTTAATTAAATAATATATGATTAAAAAAAATACTCAGTATAATATACCTTAATGTTCTTTTCCCATCTTCGTTGTTCGTCCTTTAAAGCAATCACCAGTAAATTAGCTCGTTTTAAACGTAACTGTGTTCTATTTATATTTGATTCAAGTTTATTTCGTTCGATAATATTTTGTTCGTATACTTCTTCAAGTTTCTGTAACCGTTCTTCAACATCTGCTAGCATTTTTTGTTTTATCTCCAATTCTTTCATGACTTCAATGAGCTCATCCTCAGCAATTCTTTGCCTGTATTAACAAACTTTTATAAATGAATTAATAGCTTAAAAATATTAAAAACTTACTTAATTTTTTTTGGTTCAACAATCTGATATACTAATGTATAACTGTGAACAGCTCGAACCCACATACACATTGATTTTGCAACTTTTGATTGCGTCGCAACTTTTTCGGGAGTGAAATCTGGATTTAAAATATATGGAGAGATTTGCTTAATCATATAATCAGAAATATTATTTATATCATACTCTTGCAATTTTTTTAAAAAATTACTGTCTCCTAATAATACTTTTGCGTTCGCCCAATTAGTTCTAAAAAATAATATCATATGTATATTTGAAATATTTTACATTATATATTTAAATATGCCAACTTTTGATTGAGTAACAAACATACAGCTTCCATTACAACTTGAACTAATTTAGGGGGCTTGTTAAAAACTCTAAGCTCATTTATATCACTTTTGTTTAATGACTCTAGTGCTTTTTTTGCTGCTTCTAATGCTGGCATTGCAGCTTCTAAATCTTTCTGTGCATCTATAGCAATCTCTTTAGCTGACTTAGCTTTTATTTTCGCAGCAGCTTCTTCTGTAAAAACTACTTTTTGCACCGCATCTACACTTATTTTTTCTTTTGTAAGATTATCCATTATTTTTTTCATGGCTTGATTCTTTTCTAATAATTCTGGAGCCATTGTCTTAAGTCTATTTTTCATATGACCAACCATGTCAAATGTTTCATATAGCTTATGCAAACCGTTAGCAAATCTATCGGAATCACTTTTAATTTTCTTAGTTTCTAAACTATGCATTTTCTTAAAGAGTTTTAATAGTTCTAAATAACTTCTAGGTGTTACATAGTAATGCCTTCTCATTTGCTCGAAAAAACGCTTTGTTCTATTAGTAACAATATCATGCATGTAATTGCACAAATTTGATAAATCATTAACTAAATTAGGATTATCTGGGTCCGAATATTGATCTAAACTCTTTTTAGCTACAGATATCAAAGCTTCATTTGGCCAGTCATCAAACCAATCTATTGTAGAATTATTTACTAAAGAAGGAAACAAACGGCATCTTCTTCTAAATGCATCGCCGACTGGACTCATTGAAATAACCAAGTGAAGTTTTAATCGTACTCTTTGTATAAAATAAATGAAAATAGCATCACGACTGTCGATAACTCCAACTTCAATTGCTGGTTGTCGACATGCAATGATTACTTTTTCTAAATCATCTTGCTTAAACAAATTCGGTACTTCACCTAAATAAATTCCATGTTTATATAAGTAACCTCACTTTCTAAACTTCCTAAGATTATTTTACCTGAGCTTAAAATATTATTTATATCCTCTAAAAATTCTTCTTGGACAATTTGGCTATCAGTGAGCAAAAATGTTGTATCTTCAAAATTTACTCCTGCTCTATGATACAAATTAACTAAGTCTTCGTGAAACGACGAATAATCATATGAATTTGTAAGTTCTATTTGAAAACATCTAATACCAAATTTAATCGAAAAGGAATTCATAGAATTCATTGCTAAACAAAGTGATCTATTTATCATATACCAATTAATCGTATAATAATTATGGTATTGATAAAAAAACATTGATTTTTTTTCAATATATATTTGTTAATTTATCAGTTACTAATTACTAGCATTATCCCTTATAACTTATATGGGTGTCAACTTTATTTTTTTTATGACAACATACATATTTAACAAGATGTAAGTAGGCTTTTTATTAGTTTGCATTAATAATAAGATTAGTCCCTTTCATAATGATTAGCTATGATAACAAGGGTCGCTACCATCTAAGCGAGTTGTAATAACTATCAGATATGATTACCGGACTATAAGTGGAATTAAATTTTAAGTTAATTAATATTTTAATTTGAGTTAATGTGTCGTTAAATATAAATGATTATTACACTTATTGGTTTACAATTCACAGTTATAATATTTAATGTATATTGTCAATATGTAAAATTAACTGTAGCTCCTATTTAGATTAGGAAACATCAATAAAATACACATGAGTATATTGCTATTTACACAATAATAATAATCATTTATATTTAAGACTAATAAGAAATTAAATTTAACAGTTGAAAAATAAAATTAACTTAAACATGAACAATACAAGTGTGTTAATAACTAACGAAAAACACCAGGAACGGTTTGGACACTCGCTCCTAAAATAAAAAAGAATCACGTGCTCCTCATGTTAAAATAAAATTAAGTTAATTTATAACAAAATAATTAACAGAACTCATCTGATGGTCTAGATACTTTGCCGAAAATACATAGCCGTTTGCCTTTAACTGCTCTATATTATCATTAAAAATGACAGAGACAAAAAATAAGAACATGTGTACTTTAGCACTATCAATAATAGAAGGAAGAAGAGAAAATTTTTTATTGGGGGACAAAATATTTTTAATAATATTTGTTTCATTTTCCGATAAACAGAATCAACGTTGTAAATATAGTTTTTGGAAAATTAAACAAGTAAAGAGTCAAGGGTAATGATTTATGATAAACGGATCACTTTGTATAATATGTATAATTATTTTACTTGTAGTCGTTTAAATGTGACGCTAATTTCGTTAATGATTGTTTACCCATGCCATTAATTCCTACTAGTAATGCATTTCCTCTCTCTGACCTTAGTATTCTAGCAATACGTGTAATATGTTCAATAGCATCCATAAAAAAAATAAGTTGCAAATCTTTATTATAAACCATATTGTAATCTAATAAACTTTCTAATAGTACAGATTTCAATTTATCTATGTTAGTTATTTCTTCATAAATCCGAAATTCCTTAGGTACTGGATTCATGAAATCTCCAAATAGTAACATAGGAGGTCTTGATAAATTTTCATCAGATTGTGAAAATTCTAAAATTGATCCCCCTAAATAACGAGTAGAAATTGATTGCAAGAGCTTGTGAAAATATGACTTATCCTCTAGACAAACTAAACGATCATGATATATGCGCATTGTTTCATGGTACCATAACCTGTCGTTATTTATGAATTAAATTAATTTTATTTTATAAATTCTTGGAGACAACAATATCACTAATATAAAATAATTTATTCATCGATTTCAAATCGATCCCTCAAAAATAACCAAACCTGAATCTATCTAAAAAGTTATTATTATAATATTTTACTACTTTTTATGATTAAAAAATATAATTGAAAATTTTACACTTTAATTTTATATACTATCCAAATATCTTAATTTAGGTTTGATCAGTTTAAATTTAAATTATTTTACCACGTCACTATAAAAAATTTTTTTGATAATAAATAGTGGATATCAAAAAATGTACTATTGCTATATTTAATATGGAGCGCTGGACGCGTTTTGGGTGTCTCATTACCTCGAACGGATGATCCGATCGTACTTTAGCGATCGGGTCATCTCCTATGAGAGCGCCAATTAGACCTGTTACGGGCGGCGTCCCGCAAGGGTCAGTTCTCGGGCCTCTGTTGTGGAACTTCGCGTACGACGCGGTGTTCCGCGTTCCGCTACCACCGCACGTGCGCGTCGTCTGCTACGCGAACGACACGCTTGTGATGGCGGAAGGCGCCTCGTCCGAGGAGGCTGGATATCGTGCGAACTGCGCGCTCGGTGCATTCACCGCCTGAATCCAGCAGGGGGGGAGTGGACTGAGCCTCGCCCTGAACAAGACCACTTGGGTCTTGTTCACGGGCAGGTACAAGTACACTCCTCCACGGCTCGCCATACTGGGGGTGGAGATCCCGCTTAAGGACTCCATGACTGAGGCGAGTAGACCAGGTTCCTCATAGGACCCGATCGGCTGAACAGGTGGGTGAACCGGATTCACGGTGAGATGACTTATTGTCTTACCCAAGTGATGTCCGGCCTTAGCTGCTTTAACGAGTACTTTCACCGTATTCGTAAAGCGTAACGCCTGAGACAGAGGCAGCCACGCAGCTCGACACAGGAGGACCTGAGGCGCTGGTTTAGGCCGATGCCTTATGTTCTTGTTTTTGTGTTGTTTTTTGCCTTGTGAGTTATTTTGCCAACCCTCCCTAACAGTTCCCACTCTGGGATCCGGTTAACAGGAGTGGGCCACACCACGTTGCGAATCAGCTCTTGATTAATTTCGGGCTGATTCACAACGTGGTGGCGTGAATTATATAGATGGTGTGAGCCACTCTGAAGTAATGCCTAACAGCAGTTCCAGGAATGATGACCGTTAAAAAAAAAAATATTTAATATAATTATAATAATTTTATTAAAAATAGTAGTGGTAAATTTATCATTGTAAAAGCAGAAGTTTGGTAGGTATGCCGAGGTTTTTTTTAGGTGTTTGAAACGTAATTTTTATAGTGAGATATGTTCATGAATAAAATGTGTATTTGCAGAAAAAGAAAGTTTGAATTAAATATTTATTCATTCTTATTGAGGTTTCATAGATAATGTATCATATAAACTTAATTTTTAATACAATTGCGGATGGCGATCAGTTCATTGTGAGAAATTCTTCGTTGGTCAATTTATCGACAAAATTGAATTTTGTCAAAATTTTTGTTTTAAATTAATTTAATTTAAATTTCATACTACTAAAATGTTATTAATTAATTTATGCGTGGGTTATGATTTTCGACTTGCAATAAATATTAATTAATCGAATTGTCCATAAAGTTATGACTACAATTAAAAACTTCGCTAAGTCTAAAGTATAATATTTACCTATATAATCGAGTAACATCTGGAATAGAAACAAAGTCGGTCTGTAGAATACCTTGTATAGTTTTTGATAAATCTCTCAAGTTAAAAATATAATGTGATTTTGCAGGTGTAGGTAAAAGATCTTCTGTAATACGTATATAAACATCAACACTTGCTTGAACTAACGAACTACTTGTGTTTGCTATAATGGATGGAAATTCTTCAAAAAATCCATCTAATATGGATTTAAATATAGTTTTCATTGATTTTTCACTGGTAATAGGTATATACATCATAGAGAAATGTCTAGTGAATCTGGGCGTTAATGGATTTCGCCCGCCACCAGGAGGGGCGCATATTGAACATAAAATGACATTTTCTATTTGTTTCCAAAAGAGTTTTTCTCTGTCATACAATCCACCAAAGTCTAAAATTTGTCTAAGTAACTCAATTGGAGGTTGTGCGCCGTAAATTTCTGGTTTTGGCATATTCACATCATCAATAAACAATGATATACGTTTATTACCAGGAGCACCAAAAATTGTTCTTTTTTTCTTTTCTAATTTTGATTCTAATATTTCTTGTGTTCTAAAACTATTAGTTTGTGCAGAAAAATTTATCATTCCAGCAATCCAGTTTCCCGTTTTTACTAAATTGTTCATAACAAAGTTAGCAATAGATGTTTTGCCTACACCTATATCAAATAAATCAATAAGATTAATAAAAATTAAAGTATATCAACTAATATACCTGTTACTCCACATAGCATAATAGGTTGGCTCATTTGAACTAATCTCTGACTTACATATGAGTATTTCACACTGTCTACAGTTGGAACAAACAATTCAAAATATGGCTTTTCTGTATTATAGGAAAATCCAGGGACAATTTCAGTCCAGCTTTCGAATTGTTTTTTTTCCATACTTAAGTATACGTTACATAATTCAGTTCCAGGGGGAATAGCTGCATTAAAGTTTTCTTCAAATTGATTAAAGACAAAAGTTTCGAATAAACTTTGTGATGAATCAATCAAATTTGATCCTAGGGCCCAAATATAAGAGAAAATCATACATTGACAAATAAATTTCCGTACTTTAGAACTATCCATTATTTTATTTATTCCTTGAGGATCAACTAAAAGTGATTCGAGAATTGTGCACATCATAACAGCTTTGCTAATTTTTGCCTGGATAAATTAAATTAAGAAATATATAAATATTGGTTTAGATTGATACATACTTGTTTAATTGGAGAAAAGCAGTTTTTATCTATAAATGAAAACCCATTACCGACGTAAGTTTCTATTAATGTCAAAACATAAGTTTTATACTCCGGGTTACTGTTGATAACATCACTATTCAATTGTATTATCCATGATCGTACATATGGAAGCCACCCTAGCTCAGCAGGATCTACAAAAACCATTCCACATCGACTAACTGTAGCTGGAGATGCTTGAGACAAATCTCCAACTTCAAAAATCATTCTTACCTAAGCAATTAAATTTTTAACGGTAATACATATACTATAATATTATATTTAATAATATAAAATATTATATTTAAAGAAAAAAATCATACCCACGAAGTCAACTTAATGCGCTCCGAGTTTGCCAGACATAGCATTTTGTTATCATCTAGGACTGTATTTAAATTTTCAATCCACACTGCATCAACTGGACCATCACAAACAATAAATTGAAATTCTTCATTATTTACTTGAACTGCGTTTCTAACAAATTTACCAAGTAAACCATCAGACCATTCCATTGTAAGTAAATTTACTTCACCGTAGAGTTCGCCCATACTTATGGCTTTTGGATTTAATGTATATATGTTTACAGATTTATAATATGGTCCATCTACATTTTCTTTGTATAAACGAGTCAAAGTTTTACTAAGAATATTTAAAATAGTAGTTTTTCCTCCTCCAGTAGGTCCTACGGTCATAATACCGTGCCTGACAATTATAGTTTCTAATAATTGTATGACTTTTATAAATATACATTCTTCAACTTGAAGTCCATCAGTTTCCATGATACTCTTAACAGTAGATAGAAATAAACCATAATCTTGTTCAGGTAAAATGACACCAGGAAATAAATCATTTAAAATACCCTAATTATAAGTTTATAATATAGTTATATATTTCAATAATCAAAATTTGTAAAAAGTGATCAAATGATCATACATAATTAAAAAATAATAATAATAATAACACGAACTTGAAACAGAACTACATCATCTTTAAGAAATTTTGGTAAATTGCTATCTCTCAAAGCTCTAATTAATACTAAATTTTCATTTATTGTTGGATTTTTCCGTTTCAATGAACCAGCCATTACTAGTACGCTTTTAACAGCTCTTAAATGTTGATTTTTAAATAAAATTATAAAGAATTATAAAAAAATAATAAAAAATTGAATAATATTACCTCATTCCAAAATCATAATGATCTTGTATAGACAATTGTTCGCTGCATAGTTTGTACATATTAACCATTTTTTTGGCTAATAACTTTGAAGATTCAAAACCTTCAGAGTACAAAATTACTTCAGCTATAAGGCCATAATCAGGTACCATCATTGCCATGGGTCGAAATAAAGCTTGTAAATTATCTGGGAGTTCTGTACGACCAGCATAACCAGGATTCATCGTAATAAAAGCTGCACAAGTTTTGATAAGTTTTATTTCTCTCCCCTCAAAAATAAATCTTTTAACATTCATAATTTTAGCATTCATTATAGTTATTAGCTGTTGGGCAATTACAGAAAGTACTTCAATATCTATACGATTAAATTCATCAAAACAGCACCAAGCTCCGGACTGTGCTAATCCAGCAAAAAATTTTCCCATCATCTATTATTAACATTTACAAACTTAAATAATTTTACCAACTTTATACAATTTATAAAAAATAAAATGCTTTAAGTTTAAATATATTACTTTATAATCTAAACCATCAGAACAGTTAAATACAACACACTGAGTTGCCATAGCCTTAGCTAAATCTTTTGTAGTTTCAGTTTTCCCTGTTCCAGCAGGACCTGCTGGCGCTCCTCCAAGATTAAGCTGTAGTGCACCCATCAGACATAAATAGCATTTATCTGTTAAAGGAGTTATGACTAATCGAGGAGAACAGCCTAAATATTCATAAGCGTACAACCAACGGGCATTTGCCATTTGTGCTACACAGCTATTAATTTCATCCCAATAGTATCGTAGTTGTTTTAACCACTCAAAATTGGAATCACTATTAATTTTATTTTTTACCATTGATGTTATTATGTCTCTTGCATGGACGTCAATAGTTATAAGAGCACCTAGCACAGCTCTTTGGAGACTGTTAAGTTCACCTCTAACCATAGCGGCCAACTCATTTAAGTTCTGGATAAAATGATCAAAATATTTGTTTACTGTTCTATTGGTACTGTTTAACTATCGGTAACTCAAAATTAAATGGAGAAATAAATTCAAGATATATAAAACGTTTGTTACATTTTTTTTTATGTGCTTCATATTCTGTTAAGTCTAAATAGGCTTTACTGAAAAAGGAGATTACATAACATTATAACAAATGGTTAAATAGTTAACGTATAAAGGAAAATGTTTAAAGAATAGAAGCGCTCGTCATCAACATTAAACTTAGGCCTCGATTTAAAGGTTTTAACAAACAACTATTATTGTTTTCTATTTAGATGAATTGAAATTAATTGTTTTTGTGAATACAAAAGTCATATTATTAATTGGAGATAATCTGAAAAATGCTACACGTGCTGAATTAATACATGTACATAAATAACAGCTATCATTTTCTCCTGACTTATAAAATATACCATATTTAAGCCGTCTTAAGTATCATTAGATAGTTCATTTGAAATTATGAAAATATGCTCGATTAAATTTTGGAATTATTAGAATTAATTTTTATAAGTAAATTGAATATTATGGAGTTTACAGGAATATTGTTTTCTTTGAGTTACCGAAATCATTATGTACATCTAATTTTTTAAGAAAGCTTTTAGTATATTTTCTTTACATTAAAGCTTTTTTGTTCGAAGCCTAAGAGTTTTTCATGAACGTTTGACCCAGGTTTTAGTAATTGATGAATATCACGACACCACATTATTTGTGAAACTGCTAGTACAAGCTAAAGTCAATATTTAATACATTTAATTTATCATTAAATTATTAAATAATTTATTTTACTTGGCCAGAGTGCATTAAAACCCATTTATTTCTCGGTACTTTATCATATTCTCCTATGGCTACTGCCATTAAACTTCTTAATGTATCTACCATTGCTTCTTCCACTCTATATAGCCAAAATTCAACATTTCCTCTAGCTTTTACTTCCATTGAAAACTTAACTAATTCTCTCTCAGAAGATATCATGGCAATTATGTCAGTTGGGGAATTATTATCATTTACAGTAGGAATACCTATTTCATTATCATTATCAAATTGAATTCTCCAAATTGCATCAAAACATTTGCTCATGTGTGGTTGTACAGCTCTTGGATTTCGAGCTTGAGCAATAATCTCTATCAGTTCCTCATTTGACAAAAAGTAAAATCTCGGAAATATTACTCGTTTAGATTCTAAATACGCTTCCAGACATAGTAATATTTGATCTAAAAGTTGGTTATTTTTCTTAAAAATATTCAAAAGTTTATGGTCAGTACATGTTGTTAATGCCATTGGATTTTTTGATACATTTTTCATTATATTTTTCCATGATCTATTTACTTGATTAAACATTTTTGTTTCATTTGGAAGTTGTCTTTGTATATCTGGTGCAGCAAAAATTGATTCCAAATAGATCCAATTTGTTTGACATGTTGTCCATTCTGACTGAAAAAGAAGTTAAATTTCTATAATATATAAAGAATTAACTTTGTTTATTTAAATTGTATATTTACAAGAATTTCTGTAATTAATTCCATTGATTTAATCCAATCCATAACTCTTGACTTAATCAATCCCACGTGTTTTGATGTTATAATCGTGTTAAGGTTTATATTAACCTCCTCAATTACTAATTGAATATCTTCTAAAGATCCTAATATGTACACATCATTATAATCTTTATAAGGTAATACAATCAAATCTAGTCCTTTCCACGAGTCTTCAACTTTTTTCAGTAACGCCTCTAATATTGCTTCAGAACTTGCTTGTCCAGATATTTCAGCAAGTGAAGAACTATATGTAAACGTATCGTATTCTTTAAGCATTTCTAATGTTAATGGTTCATTTTGTGGAAATTTTACTCCGAGTAATTGTTCGATTTTATGCCAATGCTGGACCCTTAAATCTGGGTTTCTTAGTGTAATAATTGTTGGCATTATGTCTTTAAAGGAATATACTTTTTCTTTCAATGTGTTTATTAGTTCACAATCAGATAAACCTTTTTTAAATTGCATTAAGTATTTCAAATTAAGCGCAAGAAACGCATTTACTTTTTCTACATCTAAATTTTGAAAGTTATCTTCTTCCCAACATTGAATATTTTTATCCCATTCATCTAAACTATCCCATAATAATATTCTAAGTCTCACTGCTTCACTTGCTTCCTCTAATAAATCAAATTTTGTTACTTCTACTCGAAAGAACTTTTGATACGACTTGTATAAATTAGATTTTTCATGACAATTGATAAGACGTTCATTCAAATCCTTTAAAAATACTTTAACTTCATGACTATTTGATTGAGCATCTGTTAACCATGGCTCCTTTTTTTAAATATAGATTTGAAGAAAAAGTATCTACTACAAAAAAAATTATTAAAAAACCTTACATTGACTTCATTTCTAATACTATCAACATTTTGAAATAGCTTTAAAATTTCTCTATCTATATTTTTAGAAAATTCATCTGTAAGATAATCTTGCTCGCTATTTAATCGCTCAACACTTGATTGTAAAACGGTTAATGCATCAGAAAAATTCTAAAAATATAAAAAAGTTTTTGGGTAAATCATTATTAGTTCTTAAAATAAATTATCGGATAAAAATTTTTTTTCGTTTAACGTTTAAATATATTATGATGTTATCTTTCAATTGAGTTTAACATTATTCGACATAAAATGTTATAAAATTTTCAAGTTGATGTTTTTAATATTATAATGTCGCTCAATTCATTTGTCAAACGTTTTAACTAAATTTTAGCTTCGATGCGAACCTGAGAAGGTATTAATTTTACCATGATATGTTTTTTTTTATGTCTCTTGCCACTTTTTCTCAGCTCTCACTGGACCGATTTCTTTTGACAATACGTCAAAAGATCACAAATAGTATCTAGTTGAAGACATTATCCTTAAAAATTTCCCTCGTTCTTTGCAAATGGGGGAAATCTCTAAAAAAATTATAATTTTTAAAATCGGTAAATTTTGTCATTTTTTTCACTTTTTTTCTTAAAACTTCCATACCTTTTTCAAAAATAAACAAATTAACATACATTTTTTTTATATTAAAACCTTAGATATATTTTATCACTTTCAATTGATACCATTTTTTGGAAATCTAACACTTAACCTGCTCACAAAGGGGGATTTAAAATAGTAACTTTTTTACAAAAACTAACTTATTCAACTTAACTTTTGAAAATGTTTCGGAAATACTGCATTTTTTAAAAATATATCAAATCAAAAGTTATGTCATATACTATAAAATGAAAAAAAAAAATTTTTTCGGACACCTTATCGTCTATGAGTAAATTGCCACCGAATTTAAACAAAAAATCTAATATTTGCAAAAAAAATCAGCTCCTATCGTGATGTTTTTTGTATTTAAAACTACCATAACCTATTGAAATAATAACAAAAACAAAATAATATTTTTTTATATTGAAATTTTAGGTAATTTCTTTTCATTTGATATCATTTTTTTTGAAAATCTAACACATATTCTACTCACAGGGGGGGGGATTTAAAATGGTAACTTTTTTAACAAAAAATTAACCTTTTCAACTTAACTTTTGAAAATGTTCCGAAAATATTCACAGTTTTAAATAATTTTAAATTAAAGCTTATATTATATACTTAACTATGAAAAAAAGAAATTTAAAATATAAATTTTCTTCTTGGTGAAAATGGCTGCTGCATTCAAAAATATGCTATTTTTTGTGTTAAAATTCTGGGTTTTGTATTTTATTTTATTTTAAAATATCTTATAATGGGAATACACTGACTTTCATGAATATTATATAATTTAATTGACATAGAATAAAATTCATAAAATATAAGAAATTAAACTTATTAAAATTGTTTTACTTATTTAAAATCAAAAAAGTAATTTTTAAATTTGAATTAGCTTAAATTGCTAATTTTATCATGCGACGAAAGCAACGAACAGTTGCTGAATCGGTAACACTTGTGTCTTTCATGCTTATAGGGTACGAGGTTTGAATTCGTCGGTAATAATTAATATATTGCATTTTCTTTTAGTTAGAAAAAATGTTTCAAATCATTTGATTTTTATCTCATTTAGATTCAATAACTTCAATAAATATCAAGGATCCCATCACTATAGTCTTCCCTCGTGAGAAGAAATTTCATATTCATATTAACATTATTTTACTATGTAGTTTTTTTTGTGGTTACGATTTATTTTGCCAACCCTCACTTGACATATTTCTATTAACGATACGTCAAATGATTACAATTCGTATTTAGTTATAGATATTATGATTAAAAATTGATAAAATATTCTTTATTTAAATAAAAAGTAGCTTAACCAGCTTTTTCCAAACAACAATTAAAATCAATCATTTCTAATATTTTTAGATTTTTACAACTATAATCAAATTTTATAATACGCTCAATTGAGTTAATCTTATAAACAACTTTTTTTTTATTGGTTCTTTTAGTTAAAGTAGATCATTAAAATTATTAAGTTCTGAATATTTTCATTGAAGATTCTTTTTAAATACCAAAAATTAATTAGAAATGATTACTATGATTTTTATGCAAGTGATCTATTGCGATAAAAATGTAAAAAAAATATTGAGCTTTTCTTATAAATTTACAATAAATAGTAATTATAAAACTTTCTGACTGCATATCAATATCTTAACGATACAATTTTTTTAATTGTCATAAAATTTTCTATTTAATGATGTCAATTTCAAACTTGCCAATTGAGCTAAAAGTTATAGTAAAATAAATTTTTTTTTTAGTATTAACATTCACAAAAATTAACTTTAAACGATTAAAAAAATAGGTTAAATATGTCATTTTCCTTATTTTTAACATATTAATAATCAAAATCAGTATTAAATTAAAACAATTTTTTTTGTTCTTAATTATTTTTTTTTATATGTAAATACTATTTTTTAATAATATTAAAACTTAAAAGTGATAGAAATAGTCTAATTGCACATTTGAAAACATAACGAAATGTTGATTTAGAATATTATATTATTGTTTCTGATGAAAGTTCCTTGTAGTACAGTGTATAAAACTTATAACTTTGTTAACTGTTAAAGTTTATCAAAAATGACCAAATCAGTATAATTTTTTTTTATATAGATGCAGCATGTCTTTACCTATCATTTGTTTTTTTTTTTATAAATCTAACCTTTTACCTTTTACTTGCATAAAGCAAGTGATCTATTGCGATAAAAATGTAAAAAAGAATCAAACTTTTCTGATAAATTTACTGTAAATAGTAATTATAAAATTCCCTGTCTGCATATTAATCTTAACAATTTCATTTTTTTCTATTTAATAATGTTAATTTCAAACTTGCAAGTTGATCTAATAGTTATGGTAATAAATTAATTTTTTTTAGCTTCGATGCGAAACTGAGAAGGTATTGGTTTTACTAAGATTTGTTTATTTTTTTTTTTGTGTCTGTTACCACTTTTTCTCAACTCTCACCGANGTGTCTGTTCTCAGCTCTCACCGAACGGATTTCTTTCAACGATACGTCAAAAGATCACAAATTGTATCTAGTCAAAGACATTACCCTCAAAAATTGAAGAAATTTCCCTTGTTCCCCGTAAATGGGGGAAACCTCCAAAAAAATTACAAATTTAAAAATGGCTAATTTTCGAATTTTTTTCAATTTTTTTTACTTTTAATTGCCATTACTATTTAAAAATAAACATATCAATATAATTTATTTTTTTATAGATGCTTGATGTCTTTACCTATCATTTGGTATATTTTTTTTATAAATCTGACTTTTTACCTGCCCACAGGGGGGGATTTAAATTGACAACTTTTTCACAAAAAATTAATTTTTTCAACTTAACTTTTGAAAATGTTTCGGAAAGTCTGACACTTTTATCATAAATTAAAGGAAATGTAATATACTTTATCATGGAAAAAAAAAATTTCGGACTTTATTTTGTCTTCACGGTGAAAATGACTACCAAATGCTATTATTGTGTGAAAATTTTCGATTTTATTTTTTATATTTTTAACTTTATAATGCTATAACTTATTGAAAAGTGTATTGATCACTACAATTTTTATATGTGAAATAATATAAATATCCCTCTTTCATTTGACATAATTTATCTTAATCAGGATATTAATAATGAAATAGCAGATCATGTACCTTTTGGAATAATTAACCAATTTTTTAAAATTAAACACTATCAAAAGATTTGCATCGAAGCGTTTTTTTTTAAAGTGATTTTAATCACTGTCAAATATCATTATACTTGATCCAACTATGCCACGTCACCACTGTGCCGCGACCCCCTGTTCTGGTTTTTTTTTATTATAAACTTTCACTTTAAAGGCTAAAATAAAGAAGTTTAAAAATTATTACTTTTAACATATTGAAAATCAAAATCAATAATAATTTGAAAACAATTCATTATAAAAATTATATTATATATAATTTTATTTTATATTTTTGAATCTAAGAATAGTAATTCTTAGATATAATCTGGATATAATTAAGGAAATAGTTGATGTTGCTTTTGTAATTATCCATCAATTTCTTAGAATTAAACATTATCTACAGATTTGCTTCGAAGCGTTTCTTATGATAGTGATTTTAATCACTGTCAGATTAAATCTATACTGGACCCAACTATGCCACGTCCCCACTGTGCTGGGTTGGGATTTTTTGTTTAATGCTATAAGGGTTTGAAACATAGATCATTGTTAAACACAGTTTTATGTATGGACAAATTACTACATTTTTATTTTGGTATAATAGTTTAACTATATTTTACGTTATTTGTATATCATATATCATTGGTTTTTAGTGTTTCTTTAATTTATTACGCTATATTAGAACTTTTTTGTTTTAAACATTATCATTATATCGTTATTAATAACGTTTTATTTCTATTTTTTAAATACTCACATAATAATCATTCATAACTTCATCTGGTATTGGTACATGAAATTCATCGGCCAAATCGTATAAATCTCTTAAATAATTTAAATGATTATCTAATTCTTCTAGCTACCAACAAACCAATGAAATTTACACATAAAATTTATTATTGCCTTATGTGAATTCTATGCTAATATAATATATTAGCATAAACATTATAGTTTTTAATATCTATTATAACTTTGACTTTGTTAAAGAGTTATTGAACTATAGCATTTTTAACAGCACGTTTAGCTAATATTCTAAGGTTATCTAGTAGTAAAAAAAAGAAAAGGTTTTTTATTTTTTGTATTATTTATAATTTGAGAATAATAATTTATAATTTTTTTTACTTTACAAGATACTATGCAATAGAATATCGTGCTACCGTACTAGTAATTACATACTCGTTTTGTGCATTTGTCTAGTGCTTTTTTGAACTCCACATACTCTTCAGCTATTTTAGGTAGAGTATCAAAATATTTTTGAGATTCGTTTACTTCTTTCAACAGTTTAGTCACTAAGTTGTTTCGTTCTCTAAAATTGTATTGAATTGTATTTACTTACTTACTAAAGCAATTGTATTGAAAATATTTCGGTATTAATTATTAAAATTTTGTTACTTATATTTTTTCTTTTCTTCGGTTACTGTAATTAACTCTGAAGAAGATTTTTGAATTTTTTCTTTTGATTTTTCAGGAGAAATTAGTGTAGGTATTTTATGATCCATCGCTGGAAAAGAGTAACTTACTAGATTACATGCATTATAATGATAATCCCTGTATTTTTTTAAAGTTGTTTGTTTGATTATTAGTGAATCACTATGGATACTTCAGCTAAAAATGATAATTGAAGAAAAAAACCTGAATATTTTTGCCTCATTTTAAAGGATTTTATTCTTTACCTTAATTGAATAAATAAGTAATAACATTAATATATAAAATATGACATGAGTGTAGGCGTACTTAATTATATTATATTTCAAAATATAAAATTAGCATCTTCGATAGTTATGCTTGGGGTCAATTGTTAATAGGTTTCATGATACTTAATTAATTATTTAAATAGTCAAGATACACCTAAAGAAAATATATTTTTTATATAAAGCTTATATATATATATATATTGCGTTTGTCACTTTTTTTCCTCAGCTCTCACCAGACCTCTTTGTTTTAACGATACATCAAAAGATCACAAATCATATCTAATGATATTTCTTGCACGAAAAGTTAATTTGATTTGCCAAATCAAGTTACACCATTGTCATAAACGCCAAAAAATACATAAATATTATTTTTCATAATCAAAAAAAACTGTACGAAAAAAGATTTATACAAATGAAATTATAGTTATTCTGCATTATTGGGCTTTACATATATTTTTTTTCATAAATGAGATATTTCTAGTTTTTTGTCATATAAAAAGCAAAAAAATTTCATTATTATTCTATGTAATAATTGGGCAATTTAAAACATTACAGCTGAATTAAGCAAATAATAATAAGTATAATTTGCATCAAAATGTTTTTATAAATGAATTTGTAATGTGATGAGCTAGGGAAAATATAACTGAAAAAAAAACCAGCACAGGGGGGTCGCGGCACAGTGGTGACGTGCATAGTTGGATCAAGTATAATGATATCTGACAGTGATTAAAATCACTTTAAAAAAAAAACGCTTCGATGCAAATCTTTAGATAGTGTTTAATTTTAAGAAATTGATGAATAATTACAAAATCTACATAATCTGCTATTTTCTTATTAATATCCTGAATGAAAAAGGTATTATTAAAAAATATTGTCGAACCATACACTTTTCAATAAGTTATAGCATTATAAAGTTAATAATGTAAAAAATAAAATCGAGAATTTTCACACAATAATAGCATTTGGTAGCCATTTTCATCACGAAGACAAGACCAGAGGTCAAATTTTTTTTCATAATAAAGTACATTACATTAGCTTTAATTTAAAATATATATAAAAGTGTCAGATCTTCCGGAACATTTTCAAAAGTTAAGTTGAAAAAGTTAATTTTTGTGAAAATGTTGTCATTTTAATTCACCCCCTGTGGGCATATGAAGTGTCAGATTTACAAAAAAAAATATACCAAATGATAGGTAAAAACATCTAGCATCTATAAAAAAAATTCTATTGATATGTTCATTTTTGAAAAAGTTACGGCAGTTTTTAGTAAAAAAAATTGAAAAAATTTCGAAAATTAGCAATTTTAAAATTTGTAATTTTTTTGGAGGTTTCCCCCATTTACGGGGAACAAGGGAAATTTCTTCAATTTTTGAGGGTAATGTCTTTGACTAGATACAATTTGTGATCTTTTGACGTATCGTTGAAAGAAATCCGTTCGGTGAGAGTTGAGAAAAAGTGGTAACAGACACAAAAAAAAAAA